GACATGAGACAAAGTATATGTGAACTGCTGTATGGAAAGTGAATTTGCTCTGTAAATCTTCACCCAAATCACAAAAAACAAACAAACAAAAAAAAACCCACAAAGTCCTGATACACTTAATGCAAAACCTGGATGGCACCTGGCATTTCTGCAGTTGTTAAACACTTCAAGAGATACTATGAGTCGGGTTCATCTTTACGGCAGAGTGTGTGTGTGTGTGTGTGTGTGTGTATTTAAGTTACTAGTAAAGCAAATTCACACCCACATGCTCTGTGTGTAAACAGACTGAGCTTCTGTATCAAAAGATGCCACACTGGCATTCCACATTACACTTCTTGGATTCCGAAAAGCTTGAGGCAAATGTGCCAACTTGCCCTGCCTTCTGAACATGCTCATTCACATACTTGTCAAAGGAATATTCAGCCATCCAACAGCATCTGACAGTATCTGTCAGATGTCATGCTCACTCGCCCTTAAAAGAGGAAAGTTTAAGTGTGAGTCAGAAAAAGATCAGGACACCAAAGTAAAAACACCTTAGGGCACTGTATATGTTCCCATGATAAAGTCTTGCAAGAAGTTGATCTTCAAGAATGCAAGAGTATTATTATAATGCCATTTTTTCACCTCATTCTATGTTTTAATCCAAGTTCAAAACAATTTACAGGAACATTCTATGAAAGACTAATGAAATTCAGCATATGAGAAAATGCTTAGATTCCATTAACCTAGCAAATTAATTTCAGGCAAACAAAATTTGTTCCCACCTTTGGTTGCAGAGGGTAGTTTTTAAAAAATAATCACACCACATTTTTCTACGTGTTAGAACCTTAATATAACATGTCTCTACATTAGGAACACCATCAGCTTTCTAGAGTTGCTACAAATCTCATCTTTTACTGGCTTCAACTGAAACCTGATCCCACGTGTCTCTACTTCCTCAGTCTAACTTTCTGCTGATATCAACTGCTCATCCTGGGCTGCTACCTGAGAAAGTAAACTATGGACCATTCATTAAAATATCACAACCAGAAACAAACAAAAAAAAAACCACCAAACCCACTGCAGTTGAGTCAATCCGACTCATAAGCAACCCCCCT